AAGGACCGATCGAGCGCTTCAGGGCAGCATGCGCGCTTTCCACGCAAGTGTGGTGACATCATCATACGGCTGTTTGTTGCGGAAAAAAGTTCATGAATTCCTCTTTCCAAGACAGCCACGTTTCGTCAACATATAGAAAGACCTGAGGGTGTGATATGCCTTAAATTTTGTGCATCTTTTGACATCGATCTTCGTAGGTCTCTAGACCATCTTGTGACACCAAGATGTTGTACTCTTTGAGAAAGGTATCTCCAGCATCAGTAGTGGTGCAGGATTCATGTGCTTGGCAAGTATGTTCTCTGATAAAGGCCACCGGCAAACTAACCCGTTCCCGGTCAATAAGACAATGCCAATCTTTATTATTAAGGCCAGCTCTCGGTTTTTTACAAAGATTCTACAAACAACACACATCTCGCAAATTTCTGTTGCATCTTCCGCATCGCCAAGACGTAGTGTGTATCTCCTTTTGCTTGCCTCAAACAGTATTCCAGAGTAAAGGCTTGGTCGGTGCTGGTATTTCGACGACATGAAGCGAGGGTTGTGCATATCTTTAACGTTCATGTACATTCCAGAAGCCACACAATTCCGGCAGGATATCCGGTACCTATCTCCTTTGTCCATGGGGTTCGAAAGAAACGTGCGTCGATTTAGGCTCTTCTTCTTCACGTGCAGTGTAGTATCTTACGCCTGAAGCAACAAGGCCATCAGTCAGCTTCAGGATAAGTGTTCTTTCTTTCTTGTAGCTTTTCAGCGCGATCATTGTTATCGATGTTAAAATATCTTGAGCAATGAAATTTATGCTGCTGTCATTGCGGAGAGAAGTGACAAAAGTACCAGGTTTGACACCAGCACAGGTCAAGAATAGGACTCTTCGTGAGCCTTCTCTTTCATCGTTGTAGAAGCGTCACCAAAGACTTCGTGATGTGCATCCCTTAACGAGTGTTACTTACCAGCGCCTATCTGCGAGTTGAATAACAGCCTTAGATGGCATCCAGTGCTTCTACTGGAACTTACATGTTGATTGATCTCGCTGCTGATTTATCGTCAGCAGCAACTGGTTTGGGTCTATTTTCCCTGTAAACATTGTACAGAAATGTCTTGCATGCGCCGTATTTTCCGTTACCCACCCCATTGGTACGCTTAATCTTTTAAATATATTCTTCAACTCCTGCATGGTCGCGAAGTGCATTACGAGATTTCTCCAGTGTATCGTTGGCAGTTTCAGGAGATGACTGTAGAGCCATTTGAAAATGAATGTGCACGATTTTAACGCGTTCAAACGGCTTCTTGAAAATCTGAAAAAGTCGCGTGTATGCGAAAGAAAAAGGGGTGCGATGATTGCTTTGGGATTGGAGGCGAGCATTTCGCAATATGTCATCGTATTATGGACAATCAAAAACATGGAAATCATATCAATTTGTGCAATACATCAGGGGTGGTGGGTGGTTTACAAAAACCTTGTTTATTGCAATGGATCCCTTATTTTAAGATAGATCTAGTTGAAAATTTTGTATACGGGTAACGTTTGGTCTTTATTTCGCCGGTGAAATGCGTATACCACGGGTATGACGAATACAATACGGATCTATCTGACATTTTCCAGAATTTGCGCTAGTTGTATAGCCGACATAATTTTAGAATTTGTTGATGGCAAACTTACGGTTTACATATTTGCGGTGGTGGTCTCCGTCATTGCGGTCTGTCATTGCGGTCTGTCAAATATGGCAATGACAGATCCCACCACCGCAAACATTTCACCTGCCCCCACCCTTATTTAGCAGCCTGTCGGATTGATCGTATGCATTGTTCAGATTTAATATGAACACTTTGCACACCAATTCGGTCAGTATCTTTACGCTCCTTCCAAATCCCCTTGCTTCAATGGGGTAGCAATTTGTCCCTTCATGTCTCAGGAAACGGAAATTGTGGATTTGGCCAACACACTGTGGTCAATTAAGGCTAGTCAAGGATTTCAAACCTTGTCATGAAATCCCCTGCTGGTTTTTCCTTGTTTCACGAGTTCGGAAGATAGTGATCCATCCAGAAAAAGCATCCGTCAGCGCCAAGTGCATCCGTCAGGGTTTTAGTGATAATTACGGTGTGGATTTATCCACTGTAGAGAGAATTCTGATGAGCGCTGTTGTTGATTACACTATCTTGTAGTTTTTCGCGTCGATGATTCCAAACTTCTAATTAGTTGATGGTCCCCTTGATCGCACGCAAGCATACCTATTATGCTGGTTCTCTGCCGATGGCCATCGGATTGGTGCATCTTGCAATCTGCAAGGAAAATCTTCAGTGCCGCCTATGTTTAGCACTTGCCGTTGATAAGGAGGACAACAAAGAGTTCACACGGGTTTTAAAGTCAGAAATAGAACAAGGAATAGTGCTCTCTCTCATCCTGCGCATGCAAGCAAAAAATGCTTGCATGCGTACTACTCCTTTTTTTAAAAAGCACTATTTGTGTGCGAATAAGACGGAGGACCAGGGCTGACAGTGCGATATTGTGCCGGTCAAAAGACACGTTTAATTCAGTAAAAGCTTCACTAGTTAATTCCACAGTACACATTCAATTCATTTCATCCCCATTCTCTCACAGCATCGACCATCGTAAAGCGGCAGATGGAACTAGCGCTTGAGCGGTCAAATAAGATCTTTTGCGGCAAAGTTCTCAATGCGAAGGACGTGACGATTTTTCTTTTTTTTCTTGGATCCATTGATCTAGTTTTTCTAGCAATATAAGAGAACAAGATCCGGCGTATACTCATTGTATTTGCGTGATGTGGTGCTTTTTATTTACTTGTATGGTTTATCGACTAGTTTCGGTGGCACGGTGTCACATAAATATATGCTCGCATTCGTTTGTAAATCTACTTTATAGGGGTGCTATAAACACTATTTATGAAGTCGGATCAATTGAAATATTGTATAGCCCCATACCATGGCCCAATGTAGCTGATTACTTTGGTTCTTTCCGTAAGGAAGTATGAGGCTTAAGGAGCCTCTCAGTTTGAATCACAAAGCGATCGAGACTCAGAAAATTGCCTAGTTCATAAAAAGATAAAAACTGTAAAGAAAAACAGTAGTAACAAATACTCATCAGTAGCCAAAAGCTCCGATAAGGCTTGCACAATTTTAACTAAACGTGAACCTATTTTGATCTGAGGAACATGTGAGACAGTAAATCTCGTTTACGTACATTCGATAAGATCTTTATACCCGCCAATGAAGTCGATATGCATACCTGCGTGGGGGCAGACAGGTGTCACAACCAACTAGCTTCGTACTCTGTACGACATGTGATAATATCCCCTCGACCTTACCTCATGAGGTAGGTATTTTGTGGCGTTAACAATCTGTACGATCGTTACCATGGGCCTCATGTATACAATATCTTATGCGGTAATTGTCTCAGGCAATAGTATTTGCTGTAGCAACCGACGTGTACCTACTAATATCCGATCACCTGGACGAGTTTGCAGCGTAAACTTTTGCGACCGACCGACCAAATACTTCACCATTCAGCACTTTACAGCGTAGACGCTTTATTAATCAGTACGAATTCGCGTATCGCAAAGCACCAGTGGCCCAAGACCTTTCCACACAAGCGACAGGATTTTGGCATGTATTCTATGAAGCCCACTATTCTGTGTACATCAAAGCTATGATGGTAAAAAAATACAAGCGATTTTCTTTTTTGATTTCATGACAGACACAATTTGATAGATACACAATATCAGGTTCTACATCAACTGCTGCGTCTCGGTAAAGTCTAAATTAAACAACGAAAGAAGTGCTGCGTAGACACCGTTGGACATCGGGCTTGACCCAATGGCGAGCCATGGAATAAACTATATCAGCTGCCGGCTTGCGCTTGTAGGATAATCAGAACAAGATACGCAGCATATCTGCTTTAAGCTGTCTCATGCTGGATGTAGGCCTTTCAATCACATCTGGTGACCAGCCAGGCTATCTTGCACCATAGGGCTTATACAATTTCTTGCTTTTTTAACTTGCCTAATTGTGCACCAAGGAATTTCTGGTTGGAAGCAACAGTGTAATGAAGGACGAAGTTGTCCGAGCCCTTGACTGCGAATCCGTGTGAAGCTGCCCGAATATCCTCGAGCGTATCATTCTACTTACCGTTCGAACTGGGTTTGACGGACACCAATGTCGGTTTTCACTTCGTTGCCTGCAGCCATCCATCACGCCTATCTGATTAGAGCCACCAGCGTACTCTTGGGATTCCCGGTCAATCTCCAGTGATCACGGAGTTACTTCTCCAAGATTTATACCCAGACCAGTGCGAACATGGTCAGTCAATGTTGCCAGCATTTTAGAGCAGTAGATGAGAGCAAACGGATGTGGTGTGTCTGTTTCTACTGCCGGTCCTGTAAGAGCTATTCTCGAGGTAGACAGACAAGGAACTAGAGCTGGACAAGGAACCTCAACAAACTCCGCAACTCCGACCACCTTCAATAAAAGAAGTACACGGATGTGAAAAAATCGTTTTGAAGCAGATGACTTGTTTGAACAACCGTGTGTCGCGTTCAAAGTATGCAAAGGCTCTTTGAATCAAGCGATAAAAAGTACGGCTCAGAAAACGCATATGCAGCAAGTGCGAAGATACATTAGTCGTTCACCTCCCGGAATGCGGACCCTAGATAGAGAATCGCTTTATCGTCCGGTAACGTGCGTTAGCTTTCACTTCTTTGGGAGCACTTTACTCACTAACCTAAGTTGCGTTGTCATGCTTATCCTCTTTCCATGCATGTTGGCCCGCTATAGCCTGGACTGTGACCCCCACTTTACTTTTTTGTTAATTGACTAGATCGAGTCTCGCTTTACCGCTCGAATTACCGCGACCATATGACTTTTGGCAGCCCGATCCGTGATTAAAAAAACTACTGTGTGATCGATCGAGCTTTGGTAGCGTGTTTTCATCCAATCATCGCTCTGCAATACTGCAATAATGGTCCACTTTTTCCTGACAAGTTTGAATGGCGCAAAGTGTGACCTGCTACAAGTGTGGCTGCCTCAACTTCAGCTCCAGGCACAACGTGTGCGACAACTGCCGGTCCAAGATGATGGCGTCCAGTCACAACGTGCTGCATCTCGCAAGCGAATCGACTGGTTCCAGTAGTGCCTCGAGAATCAAGTCAAGTGCAGTTCCCGCGCGCTCATTGGGTAGAAAACGAAGACTCGACGAGATCCTATTGGCTGCAAAAGCAGGACCCGGCAACTATCGCCTGCCCGTAAAAAGTGCTTTTTATAAAAAGCAGCAGCAGTCGCCTGACGTTATTGACTTGATCTCCGACGACGACGAGGAAGAACTGGCCAGTGATGGACATTCTAACAGCAAGAAACAGAAGAAGAAAACGGCGATTACAACAGTCGATGACCGAGTAGAATTAGCAAGTGCGACGCTGTTCCAGAGTCGCGTGTTCCCGGTTGTGACGTTCGTGAGTAGCCACTTCCCTTCAATTGAAGACGGAGCTCTATTGAGGAAGCAAGCGACAGAGACGCTGTGTGCGGGATCTGAGCCAAGTGGTGAGACAGTGGTCGCCATTGAACCGCCAACAAGTTGCCAAATGCCGGCTCTGCGGGCGACATTGGCGACACCTGTGTCAACTTTGGAAGAACTCCCGGAAGCAAGCTCTTCGCCCATGGCAGTTGTAGACCCGAGACCTCAGCCAATTGTGGACTCAGATCCAGAGCCGGTTGCAGTTGTGAACTCGAGACCTTTGTCAGTTGCAGCTGGAGAGTTCACACTTCAGTCAATTCCAGTTGTGGAGCCGAGCCCTCAGCCAATTAATGCTGGGAAATCTCAGTCAATTCCAGTTGTGGAGCTGAGGCCTCAGCCGATTCATGTTGTGGAGCCACAACCTCAGTCGATTCCAGCTGTGGACCCGAAGCCTCAGCCAATAACAGTCGTGGACTCAAAATCCTCGCCAGTTGCAATCGCGGACCCGAAACCTTTTCCGGTCGCATTTGAAAAGCGGCAACAGAAAGCGCAGCAATCGACGACGACAGTCGAGACGGTGTTGAAACAAAGTGACGATTTGGATGTGACGAAAACAAATGGTACCGTGAAGCTTGAGACTGATGTTGGCACCGTGTGTACACAAGAAAAGCAGAATGTCCAAGCTGAGAGAAAACTAGAAGACTCGTTGTTCCGGTCTCGTGTTTTCGAATCTATTGAATTTCGAGCAACAGATTTTGTGACTACGGCACAAGTGTTGGCGACGGCGAGACGAAGTCATTTGCCGAATTTGAAATCCGCGGCATCGGTAATAGCGTCTGTGGAAACAACTGTATTAACGGAAGATGGGTATCGTCATGCAGATGATTTGATAGGACCGGTAGAAGAGGCAAAGGTCGCATCGCCGACAGCTGCGTCTGTCGCCGTCGGCACAAGTACGACAGTTGCTTGCGCGGCAGGCTCAGCAAAGATTATGAGCTCGGATAGTGTTGTACCCCCGCTGGTGTCGTCTACGACTCCTGTGGTTACAATATCTCTAGAATTGTCGAGCGCGTCTCCAAGTTCAGGTGGGTCCCACCCTGTCGCGAATTCGACCGCGTCGTTAGTACCAGGGGCAGCATTGCCACCTGCTGCTCTGAAGCCAGCAGTAAAGGAACCCACCCGGGAGGTGGCAGTTCCGCCAGTGAATTCGTCGTCGTCACGAAGTCACGAAGGATACACGCCAAGCGCAGCTGTGCAATCTGTAGCGCCGGCAACGAAACCTCTTCCATCGGCTGCCGAAGTAAACATGAAGCCAGCAATATCCGCATCGTCGACTTCGGAGTCAACGTTGGCAGTCGAATGTGGAGCAAAAGTAATACCGCTAGTGTCAGCTACACCACGGGCCAGTGTTGACGTAGCTACGAAGGCGGCTCCTGCGTCAATGACACGTTCCGAACGGACTCAAGCAACTGACAACGCAAACGTGCTGTTACCTCAAGAGAAGGGTCCTGAAGATAGTCGTCGATTTACTGGTGAGCAATGTGATCAACAGGCATCGCTTGATGGGACAAATGATATCCCAGGTGCAGATGACGAGCTTTGTCGTAAAGCCTGTGCAGCACCACCTCAAATGGCTCAAGTGGATCCCCCTGTCTTGGGATACTGCAGTCCAGAGTTCTTGGAATTCATGCGTGAGTGTGGAAACGCTGGTTTCGATGAAGAAGGCGACCCTAACGACGTAAATCGCTTACAGCTAAAGCTGCTGGATGTCGTGGACCTCACAAGTTTAAGCAGCTCAGAAAATGGTGATGCAATTTCGCCTTCGTCGACTCCGCGTGTCGGAGGGCTTAGTGGGCACAATCAACGACTGTGTCCGTCAAATAACGAGACAGTCAAAAAAGTGGGCCTCAGTTTGGCTGACGAAGCCGTAAATGTGTCAGGACAACGAACTTGGTACATTCCGACGCTGGAGAGTGAGCGGAAACGGACTCAGCCAGAGAAGGTTATGTGCGAGTTGTGTGAGGAGGACGGAATCGCGTCTAGACTAGTTCGCTGCCCGAAGTGCGCAAAATATTATCACAAGAAATGTGCGGAGGAAAACGGCGACGAAAGCATTTGCTGGAACTGCGAGCTTGGTTCGATGATCGACGATAGTGAGCTGGACGAAGAACATGCCAAACACAATAGTGAATACTTGGCGTATCTAAAGGCAATCCGTTGTTCTTCAGATGGTGCTGACGCTGAAGACGAGTGGGTTTCTGAGGACGAGGACCAAGAAGGTGACGAAGTAATGACAGAGGTGAAGGCTGGAATGGCAGCTGTAGCAGAAAGTGGAGAAGACAGCAATGCTGTCATCGGAATGCAAGTCGCGAGTGCGGGGCGAAGATGGAAGGAGTTTATTGGAGATGCTACCGCTGACGTTGACGATTCTTACCTCGAGATCACGAAACGTATTACGGAGGAACTTCGTGACAACGAGAAGAAGTGTATATACTCACGGGGTTTCGTGTCACGGGAAGAATTCGAAGCACAGATGCATGAGGTTGAGGAGTATTACATTATGGAGGAAGCACGGCTGCAGCAGCTGGAACGGGAAAGAGCGCTCGAAACCAAGAAGATGGCTGAAGCTGCGATAGAGCAGGCAGAAGCGGAGCGGACGATAAATGGTAGCCAATGTGCTGGCAATAACGCTGCTGGTGACGACCAAGCCATGGCGTCGGAAATATCTGTACAAGGTTGTAATGTTTCCACCGGCGACATCCTTCCTATTGCCGCAACTGCCAGCCAAATTTCACCGAGTGTCGCTCCAGGATTGTCGAAAGACACCGCAGCGAACCACTCAACTTCGGTCCACCTTTCTGTACCCGTTGCGGCACAAACGACAGTTTCTGCACCGCTTGTACCAGCTGCTACTTGTGCAGCAGCATCCGAGGTGATGGGTAGTGGATTACCGGTGGTCCTTGGACAACCGCCATCGACGCCCTTGTAATAGTGTGCTCTAAAAATGGGGTAACGCAGCGTCAGGTGTTGACGACTATACAGGGTTCAAGCACCAGGCTACGAACGTTGGTGTAGTGCCCGAAGTTCATCGTAAACTGCTCGGTCACAGCAACGACAGCCTGAAGACTTCAAGTTCTGCTGAACGACTAATGACCAACTTAGACGCCACTTGGCAAGATCAAGACAACTGGGCATGTGTCGTTATAAACAATGACACCATCGATGATGTCTTACAAGTCGTCACAGGACAAGAACAAAGTTGTCAACGACAAGGAAGCATGGCAGTGTCTGCTGCTCTTATTGCTCGCTTGAAGTGGGTAGCGATGAGGTGATGCCGACTTTCGGATGTCTTAGTATTGCTGGACGTTTGCTGTTGCTATCGATGCAATGCGAAAGATGCTGACTCAATCGCGAGGCCTACACTGAAGATGTAAACAGCAAGTGCATTTTAAGACAGTCGACGGACATTTCAAGTCAAATTTTGCGGGAAGGAAGGCGACTCTGTTGCAGCACCGCGCGTATTTAATGTACGATAGATGCAATGAGTGCAATTGCAGACATGGCTGCTGTCTTTTAAAGCAGTAGCACACCTACCATAGTTGCCTATTTTAGGTATCAACTTGCAGGTAAAGCTGTGAACCGCAGGATAGCGTCAAGAAAATCAGTATAGTTCAATGTCACTTTATGAGGGGAAAAGGGAGGTGTTCTCTATCCGGCATCAGTCGTCCCTCAAAAGCGTCTTTACGCGTCAAATAGAGCACTGAAAAGCCTTTATAAAGAGTAGATCTGTAACCTCCTCCCAGCCGCGCCGTACCCACTGCTCGTAGCCACGATGGCGGAGGTTCGTACCTACAACTCTCTGTCTCTTTCAATTGCACGCTTTGCAACGACGCCCAATCGGGTGGATAAGGGAAAACAGATACGTGTGTGTGCGTGTTTTATACTGACTTTTTGTATGGGATGTTGCGCTCACGACACAGTCGAAAAAAGGGGTCAAGCAGGCCACGATCAGCGCGTTCTTCTCCCCAAAAACGACTAAACCGGTATCTGAGGACAAGAAACCGGTGGAATCAGAACTCAAGAGGGTATGCGTTAAAAGACCGCGGGTTTCGTCGGTTGATGCTAATTCCGAGGTTAATTCCGAGGTTGTTTCCACTGATCGAGTGCACCTTGCAGTACAAAAGCAAGTCAAACCAAAAGCTTTAGCAAAGCTGAAAGCCGAAGCTACGGGTAAAACAGAGCCGATGTTGAAGGTCAAGAAGAAGAAGAAGCAGCGGCTCGTGCGCTTTACGTCTCCCCACGCGGTGACTGCCAAAGACGAAGAGGAGGAGCAGTTTGATGAAGATGATGATGATGTGTTTAACACTCCTGAAGCCAAGAGAGCTCGAGCAGAATTGGAGACGGGGGCAGGAGTCGTTCCTGCTGGAGCTCTCATCTTGGACGATGCTATTGTCGAGGAAGAAGAAATTGTCACGATTGGAGAAGACGATGGTGTGGTAATGGGTGAAGAAACGAAAGGTGTGGATGAAGACGCTGCTTCTGGCGTGGTCGATTCGGCTATAGTTCCGGTCGTAGATGATACAGCGGAGATAGTAGCTGCAGAAACAGATGACGACAAGAAGACAAGGAATTCAGTGACGACTAATTTGTCCGCTGTGAAAGACACCCAAGCAAAAGCCATGTCGATGACGAAACGGCAGCTCAAGGTGAAAGAACTAGCTGCAGCTGCTGCAGAGTCAAAGGTTGCTCGTGTGGAGCCTTTGGATCCGATTATACAGGCTCGCGTTGATACGTACAAGATGAAGACTGATGAGCTCACAAGTGTGTACAGAGAGCTCTCACTGTCGGAGCAGGAAAGCGATGTGATTATGCAAGACATTTACGGCGTTAAACTAGATTACGACCTGGGTGTCATCGTGGACGAGAGCAAAGTGCAACAAGCGCTGATAGAGACGTGGCAGAAACTTCAGGATCATGCGCGCTCTATTCCTGACAGAGCAGATGTGGTCGTGTTGCCCGCTACTGTATCATTTCCCCATGAGGTGAAGTGTTTTATTGTGAGAGCGATACAGGGTCGATCTGCAAGTTTGTCAGCGGTGTCGCGAGGACTTTTAGCCGCATTTAAGAAAACCGTTGAAGTGGCAAATTGTGATGTGGGAGAAACAAAAACTAAGGGTGGATCTGGTGTAGACCTTGCGGCATCGTTAGCAATGGAGATGGAGATCAAAACGCTTGCACAACGCATTCCGCATGGTGTGCGTCCTGCGAAGGCAAATGTGTTTGAAGACACCACCGTCGATGCACTGTGGGTGTGGGAGGTAGGAAGCCCAGAAATGTACTTTGGTGATGAAGCACAGAAGACTGTAAAGCGCATGCGTAAGCATCGCAAGCGTCTTGGTCAGCAGCTAAAGACACTGGCCAGAGTCGTTCAATTGTTGCACCAGAAGCCAGTAGATGAGGCAAGAGTGAGTGCTGAGGAGGCAAAGGTTGGGAAATTTGGGTTCGTAGTGGCTGCTGAACTACAAAAGGCGAGGGACAAGGAGGTGAAAATGGTAGAGAAACGCACTGTTGCTGAGGAGAAAAAGTTGCTGGATAAGCGCCGTCTTTTAGAGCGTCAGGAGGCAAAAGATGAAGAGAAACGGAAGCGTGATCGTGAAGCGGAGGAAAAGGAGCTTGAGTCATTCAAGGCGCAAAAGAAATTCAAGTCTTTTTTTGCGTCTGATGCAGCCAACGGTAGTGGAACCTGTGACTCCATCACAGATGTGACAGGTGATGACGATGAATTGCAGGCCGTCCATCCAGAAAGTCGCAGCACAACGATTGCTCGCATGGACGCAGCTATTGGCTTTCTGGGTTCAGCGGCGAATCCGTCACTCGGTGATCCACCAGGCCCATCGTTTCAATCTAGTGTCTCGATGCTGAAAAAAGGCAAACGAGGTACTACCAGCAATACCGATCTGACTTCTTCTTCTTCTAGCTGGAGTTCTCGGCGCCACCGCGACCCGAAGTTTGGTGTGATGAAGTTGCTGCAGTTTCACGAGAACAACCGGCCAGCATATTACGGCACTTTCAGCAAGCGAAGCCGGCTTTTCCGTGGTGGTCGCCGTCCATTTACGCAGTATTCCAAGTTCGACTACAGTGTTGATAGCGACGATGAGTGGGAGGAGGAAGAGCCGGGCGAGAGTCTGTCTGACGATGAAAACGACGGCGACGAGTCTGACGAGGATACTTTGGACTATAACGACCAGTGGCTAGCCTATGAAGATGAAGTTGATTATATGGATGATGCTGATAAAGAGGCAGATCTGATAAGCGGTGAAGCCCTATCGTCACCGACGAAGCACAAACTGCCATCGCAGCTCGAGAAGAAACGTCGAGCAGTTAAATCAGCCAAGCTGGAGCCCCAAATTATTGGTCCGTTCTGGTGCGTCCATGGGGGTGACAACTGTACCGGTGGCCATTTTCCAGAGCTTGCGGGTGAGCTGTTGAGTGAACCTGCGTTCGAATCCAGTTTGATGAAAAAAGCTCGTGAGTACGAAGAAGAGCAGAAGCGGATAGAAGCCGTGCGTCAAGCGCAGCAGCAGCAGCTCGACGATGAGCGGCTGAAACAGGAGAGGCAGAAAGCTCAAGGCAAGGACAACCAAGAGAAGACAGGGACAGCTACAGCCGCTCCCGAGACGCAAGCTGCTTCGTCTCTTGTGCCACAGCAAGCCAATGCGATCAAGACGTTGGCTTCTGTTGAACCAACGCCTGCAGCAGCGTGTCTACAGTCGTCACCACCCAAAGCGCCGAAACAAATCGACTCGTGGTTCAAGAAAATTGCAAGTCCGGTGCCGACCGCACCGCCACCAACGACTGCAACTTTAACACCGACAATGCTCTCGCAGTTACCAAGATCGGCTCCGCCTTCTTCTGGCGACAAGACCAAGTCAACTGACGAAAGCAGCCCAGCGATCGACGTTATTGAGGTCGACGGTGACTAGTCGTACCACTCCAGTCGAAACGCGTAACGACTGTACCGACCCGAAGAGTCGCGTCGCCAACACCTTTCGAAAATGTCGCGCGAATGTACAGTCCCCACGACCTCGTTGTTTTTTTGCACCACTCCCACGTCGCCGTCGTCGTTTTTCTAAGCCAATCAAAACACAGCGTCCGCGTCCCCATCCTCTCGGACCCTCAGTTTTGTTTTCGCCGGGTCTAGAATCGTACTTAAGATGACTCTTGCCCTCCGCACCACTGCGCCGCTCCGTTTGTCGCTTGTCCGCCTTACTGGGCGGCGCGCTTTCGCCTCGACCGGTGGCATCCCCGATGACATGGAGCACGCCGTGGGGCGCGAGCGCCAGGAGCTCGAGGCCGCCACGATGGGCGTGACGCAGTTCAACCGCGACCCGCTCGAGAGCGACGAGGCGCAGGGCAACTCGAAGGACGACCCGATCCTTGTGCCGTCGTTCAATGACGTGCGGACCGTGGGCGTGTCGCATAACGACGCGTCGTACTTGTACTGGTTCAATATGGTCAAGGGCAAGGTGCACTACTTGCCGCAGATTGAAAAGTACTTTATGCTGTACAACCCCGAGGAGCTGGCGCAGCTGGTGAAGGAAGTCGAGGCCAAGCAGCAGTGACGGCGGTGGGGGTAGGGCAGGTGGTGGATGTCCCAGTTTGCACGGGATGTGCTAACGAACTGGGAGATGGAGGACATGTGGTGTGCATCTGGTGTGGTGGAGGATATTCGACTAAGTACGATGACGAGGGCTGGGCGGAAAAAGTTGAACGGCTGCAACGCAGGGGACAGATGAACATTATTTTTGGAACAGAAAGATGATGTTTTTTTATTTTGGGGTTTTATCGGGTTTATTTTTTCGGTTGTTCGTGCTTATAATTGTTTTTATTCTTGTGGCCGTTTGTTGACAAGGTTTATGATGGAACACCATACCAATCTTGGTGTAGTGGGGTTGTCTCTATGTTCGTCCATCCTGTTCTATGACTAAAATTGCAGCACGCTATCGACATTTTTACACCGACCTACGACAAACTGCAACTGATCGTGGAGCTGCCGTGATCGGATCTGAAGTGGTGACCACTAGCACATTCCTGGGGCATAACGTCACGGGCAAGGACAATGGTAGTACTTGCCGTACCGTTTCTACGGCACCCTGTTGCTGTTATTGCAACGTAAGTACTGGAATGGACCTGGGGCCGCTTTTAGCGGATGTGAATGGGGCTGAAACGCTGCAGCTGCTGATCGTTTCGCTCTGAACGTCGTGCGAGACGATAGGGGAGGAAGTACGGGAATTTTGACGTTTTCCCGTCCACGAGACACGATTCCCAGCTCGGCTTGCAAACATCTGCCGTCTGAGGTTGTACATGAACCTTTCGAGTGCTGCACTGGCCGTTGAGGATCTTGTTCGGAGGAAGCCCAGGATCCAGAACTCATGGTTTCGTCACTTGGTGATGTCGTCGCAGCAGCGTCGCTCGATGTCGTTCTCGTTGTTGGACTCAATGCGGATGTGACCGGTTGTGGTGCACACTGCGTAGCCTGTGGCTGTACCGGTGACATCGGCTGACCCTTCAGCGCACCATCAGTATCGAATGGAAAGCGCCCAGCAAATTTCAATAAATATTTCTGGGCATGAGTACGCGTTTGCACGGCACTGCGTGTCCTGACCACCTGAGCCACGCGTCGCCAGTCTTTGCCGTACAACCGAATGCCTTCTAGAAAAGCAGCATGCTCCTCACCCGTCCAGCGCCCACCTTTCGAAGGACCAGTGGTAACGGTACTTGACGAAGAAGCTGGACCTGACGTACCCACCATCAGATTTTCCGTCTTGACAGTCGGTGTTACGGGGGCACTGGTTTGAGGCAAAGCATGCGTGTCCTGAGCGAGTTGTGGAGACAGTTGAACGCTCAAAGGAAGTTGCCAAGAAGCCCATAATCCTTCGTCAGTGGTGGAACCACGATCCATTACTGAAGAAGGTGAGAACGTCTTGGGACGCATGGGATCATCCTTGTTTGGGTCTGCAATCACAGCTTCGCGCTTCCTTTCCAGGTTTGCAATCTGGTCCCGGTACTTGTCACGCTCGTTTCCATGCGCACTGAGCATTGCAGCCTCCATGGACGCAATACTTTTCGAAAGCGATCGGATTTGACGATGCGGCCACCTCTTGATGCCGTTTCGACGACAGATCTTCTTCATGAGTGTAATGCAGATGCCAAAGTCCTTGGCCACGTCAATAATCGGGCGGTCGAAGTGCACACGCAGCTCATCAATGGAAATGTGCTTGGTCACTAAACTTTTGACGCGATTGCTCTCGTTTCGAAAGCGGTGACTAAAGCCCGCGTCATCGGTAAAGTCGAGCTTGCTGCCTTCCGGGCCATCGAAATTAATTTGCTGCACGCGGTGCATCTGTCTCCCGCCACCGGCCGAAGCAAGAAAGTGACAGCGACGTTGCGATGCATTTTCATCTTCAGCGTCCACTCCCTCGACCATCTCGTCGACAACATCCGGGACAGCATCTCGTGCCATCATCTGCCCAGGTGAGAAGCCTTTACTCAAACTCGTGAGGATCATAGCTGTCTCCTCTGGATTGAGACCTGAAGTCTCGGCTTCTATCGTCGTCGTCATTCCATTGGACTGAACACCACGACAGCGCTCATCTGTTTTAGGGAGCAAGACTTCATGGTCTTCCGTCCCCGTCCGGCCCTCGATGTCGCATGCCATGCCCATTCTCCCCCTGCCTTGGCCCGTCTCAAGGTACAAGGGAGAGATCCAGCTCCTCTCGTCGCTCGCTTGCGATTGAAAGCAGTGAAGCCTCCTGCGTTGTTCCGTGCCTGTACCATGAACATGTTGTCCATGCAGGAAGATATCTTAGTCAACTGTAGCCATCGTGTCAATTTTGTGCACTGCTAAAGATCGATTCGAAAGGCCGTGGCGTCCCAGGAGCTCTTTGACAAAAGGGGAGAGAAAGCTTGAAAGGGCACACACATGGTGGATGCTCGCCGCATTGCCACCTGTTTTCGATGAATCGTTCTATGGATGGAGAGCTGGATCGATACATCTACGTGTGAGTATACCTCGTACCTGTTGCCTTTTGTCAAACTTGGGGCGGGCGACGGTCGTTCGATGGTCGACAATGGGTCGATTGATGGCTGCGTGGGACTTTATTGTTTTCGATTGCGACTGTTTGTTCGTTTGTCGATCTGACTGACTGACTGTCTGTCTGTCTGTGGCCTTTGGCGCACTGACCAGTGGATCGACACGAGAGTCCAATCGTCAATAATAGAGAGCAAATGTGACGCTTAAGTAAGCGGTGAAGCACGAGAGGTTGGTTGGCCATTCGATTGCAGAGGGAGGGAATCGGTACAAAGTATTTGATTTTAGAAGTCTTGGCGAATTGGTCATTTGTCTATCAAGAAGCTCAAGGCCATCGTTACATACTATTGAAGATTGGCAGTAGACAAGTATTGTAGCGACTTTGGTTCCTTATGTCGTAGCTACTCGCGTCTGCGCTTTCGTGCGTTTTTGTTATTTAATGTACGAGTCATTTATGCATGAGTCTAGTTGTTGCTTTGAGCTTTTAATGGTGTCATCATGCTTAATTTAATCAGTTGTTTACCCGTATGCCCGGGCCTCCGACACTCTATGTTCATACTATTAAGTAGCATCCTTGCTGCCGTCACTCATTCAAGTAATGAGCGCCGACTTTAAATAACGAGATGTGTGCGGAAGCTAGACATAAACGCATCACGCTGTAGCGTGCGTCTTCCACTCATCCATTTCGACCACACAAGAATCTCCACACCGGCTGCTTTCACTTAACGACCGCTAGCACAGGCACTTCTGGTCCAATAGACACAGATAGTTGCCTGTGCCACATGCGTATGACAATACCAACTGATCCTGAGGGAATGAATGCACTCCATGTGCAGTCTTCCACTGAAAACCGACCAAGCCTTGTACATTCATACGCTCCATTTCAGCATGCCAAACGGCTCCATATCAAGCATTTGCGACTCCTCAGCTCTCCCAAACTCTTGTCACTGTCTGCCACGTAATGAGGATGGATTTGTACGGGCTTGTACTATGTTAGCTCTACCACCTACTATTCTAGCATGACCCAAAGATCCTCAAAGTTCAGCCAAATATTGACACACGGAGTGACATCATACAACCTCCTACAGGTCACATCAGCTCATTTTTAGACGAATCAGGTGCCGTTCTACATAAACTGTCCAGCGCTATGTTTGACAACCCACCCCCCTCCGGCTCTCGAGTGTCACTTTTGAAAAGCTCCGGTACCCAGCACATCTGAAAGTCTCTGATACAAAATGCGGCTTTCAATAGCAGCATTTCACTTCCTCGTTGCAGCCAGTTGTTTACAGACCCACGTTCTGTCGTGGGACCAACAACCTGATGGCTACGAAGTGATTGACGGCCCTAACAACTCGGAAGCATTGTCTTCATGGCGTCAAGACTGGACCATCTGGAAGAAAATGGAGCTGAGCAGCAACCGGTATAACCCATCGGATGCGTGCAACGTTTACAACATCCTGGAAACGCAATGGACGCAGCGGAACTTCGTGCAAACTTTTGTCATGCTGAATGATCGAGCAATCTACGATCGAGAGACGCAACAGTACACGGTGGACAAGTACGTGGACGAGATGGAACAACGTGTGGGCCCTATTGACAGTGTCTTGATCTGGTCCGCATACCCGAACATTGGGATCGACAATCGAAACCAATTTGATCTCTTACGAGACCTTCCTAATGGACTTGAGGGAGTGAAAAAGGTCGTCGCGGATTTCCATCGTCGGGATATTCGGGTCATCATTCCATACAATCCGTGGGATATTGGCACTCGAGATGAATCGGGTCTGGAGGATACAGTGCGGATGTACACGGCCGACATTACCTCACTAACAGAGATCGTGTCGGAGCTTCAAGCTGACGGGTTCAATGGGGATACCATGTACGGCGTGCCAAAATCCTTTTTCAACTGCAGTAAACCACTGGTTGCAAGTCCAGAAGGTGGGGTGCCGACAGCATACCTGAGCCATAACCCATTGAGTTGGGGATACTTCGGGGGCTACTCGCACTTTCCGCCGGTCGCTCGGGCCAAGTTCCTTGACTCGAGACACATGGTGCAAATTTGTGCACGATGGTCGCTGGATCGGCTTACGGAACTGCAGACAGCGTTTTTCAATGGGGCAGGGTACGTCGTGTGGGAAAATGTGTGGGGCATCTGGAACGCAATGAATGAACGTGAAGATGAGACTGCCAAGCGAATGTTCGCTATTTTACGCAAGTTCGGACACGTTGTATCGACTGGAGTGTGGACTCCATACTACGCAATGAAAGATGACGGACTGTTTGCAAGTGCTTTCGATGTCCAAGAGAATGGGGAATCCCTCTACACAGTGATCAGTACAGTGCCTGAAGACAGGACATTCGAGTTGCCACTCACCAAAGAACAGTCTGAAGATGGTGTTCGTGTGTATGACGTCTATCACGGTGTAGAATTACAAAAGCAGCCAAGTGGCGTGAATGGATCGGTCGTGACGGTAACGTTAGAGCCCCGGGCGTTTGGTGCAATCTACATTACAAGGGCTACCGACGACATGACTCAATTTTGTAGTGAGATGCAAGCTATGACCACCAAAGCACTTGCAGACTACTCTTCGACGCGAAATCTGCTTCAACAGCAACTCATTCGTAGCGACCATGCGGAAGCAGAAGCTGAGTCGAGTGTTGATGGAATGGTGCGTGTGTCTGGGATGGACAATTGGTGGTTTAACGTCAGCGGTGTACAGATTGAACCCGTGTTAGCTTGGACGCCGAACTCGGATCAGTTTGGCACAGGAGTGCAGTTTCCATGGGAAAACCGTCCCTGGAACAACCACTCGACGAGATTGTCCATTCAAGACTTTTTCCTTGACGTCCATCCTGTGACCAACGCTCATTTCCGGACATTCCTCCAGTCAAGTGGCTATCGTCCCAAGTCAATGGAGCGCTTCTTGTTGCACTGGGAAAATCGTCAAGGGCCTTTAGCATCATGGAGTATTCCGCCTGCATTGGAGCAAAGCCCTGTCGTCAATGTTGCCCACGAGGATGCTGAAGCTTATGCAAAGTTCTACGGGAAGCGGCTTCCGCACGATTGGGAGTGGCAGTACGTTGCTTCGAACGGAGAAAACTACGATGCCTACCCATGGGGGCCCGAGATGGACCTCAACAAAGTGCCAAGGGTTTTTCATGGGAAAGAATTGCCTGCACTGAGTCCCGTTGGCTCGTATGCGAACTCTCGCTCGACGAAGTTCCAAGTGGAAGATCTCGTCGGGTACGTGTGGCAGATGACGGATCACTTTTGCGACTCGCACACATGTGGACTTCTCCTCCGAGGAGGCAGCAGCTACCACCCGATATCAGCGACGCATAGTGACCCGAATTGGTACTTTCCCCAGACGCTCGATGCCCAGCACCACAACCGCTTTCTCATGATCAGCGAAGGGTACGATCGCTCTCCAATGGTGGGTTTTCGTTGTGCGAAGAGCATTGCTCCATCTCGAGCCATGAATTGACCGATGAGAACGTTTCGGATACACGAAGAAGAAGAAGAAAAAAAACAGGTCTTCCACACCTGATGACTGTGTACGAACAGCTCAAGCTATAGTGCTTCGGTTTCTGCATTTCTTGTACGTTTGACTGTTGGTTTCGACTTGAACCTCTCTGGAAAAGTCCGTGGTAACAACTCAGAGTCAAATGACATCCAAGATCCGAAGAATGCAAGCTCCGACTTGACACTGTTGCTGTTGCCCATCGTTTTGTCGTTACCCAGTGCTGTCTCTCCACCATTGTCGTTGGATTGCTGAGCGTCTCCGACGACATGACCGCAAGCAGTCGCTTCTCTTCCTGGTATCGTATACCTGAAAGTCCCTGTCGCAAAAAGTGTCTTGACGGTGCTTCCCGTCTCTTGCAGCACTCTTGAAGCGAAAGAGACTTCAAAGTGACTTCATACCAACGACTTCGGCTATTACCACCTTCATCACTTTACCCCATGACAATGTTGCACCTTCCTCCGTCCTATGCTCGATTCCGACATACCAACGAATGAGCTTCTCACCAACTAATGAAACTCGCATCAAGCAGTCAGCGAGTCACTAGTCGATTCAGCCAACCAACCTTGGAAATCTACCTTCCCACATGATCCAGAGTTATGAACAAGCCTACGACTCCTCCAATTCACTCACTACCCCAAACACTACAACGTGCGACTTTCTCAGTGGGTTGGACACGACAATCCGCGACACTTCAGTCGCTGCTCACATGATTTGCGCTTCCTATCAATTGGGATGAACCACGGAAACAAATGATGCAAACGAGCAGCTACAACTGGTGACTGGAGGGGATACCTCACTTTTGAGATTTGCTGGTTTCCAGCACCTGATTCGTCTTTGGGCGTCCAGGCAAAAGTGACTGCTTCATTGATATCCAAAGGTGTTCGTTCAATCAGGAGGTTTGCCATCTCGATCCGGATCAAGAAATCCGGTGCTGCCTCTCGGATATGAGCGAGTGTCAAGATCAAATGCACGAAGAAGAAGGAGGAGAAGAAAGTGTCGCGATCGTGACCAGAAGATCGAGGCAGGGAAGTTGTTGTCACTCGACTCGAGCCAAGAAAGTCACGACGACCCACAAAATTCGGGCATTGAGGGAGCTGGTTGCGTCCATGG